TCCAAGCCCCGGGGCTTGGGGGCGGGGGACCCACCTGTCTGCACAGAACAACGGGCTCTGTGTCTGGGGCGAGGCTTCCAAGGACGGATGCGCAGGCGGCAGGTGTTCAAAGGGGGCTCTTCAAAGAGGGGGGCACGGGGTCTGCCCTTTCCCAAAGCCCCCTGCCCCTCCGGGACCCCCGTGGGAGGGACCGGGGAGATCGGATTCCCCCGCAGGGTGCTCCCGCTTTGTCTGGAAACCTCCCAGGGGAACCCCGAGGAGCCAGGCCCCTCCTCCTCGTCCCGTCTCACCTTTCGGGCCTGGGGCCGCCGTGACCTCAATTCAGGCCGAGTAACAGGAGCTCCTGAAACGCTGTCCACCGGGCTTTCCACGGCACAGCGGGGACAGACACGCACAGAAACGAGCGCTCGGGCCGGAGCGCAGGACCCCCGCGTCCGGGGGCGCCAGGAAAAACCCTGCAAATTAAGCGCTTCTGATCTCTCTCTCCCCCAAATACATAAATAAACATTAAGGGTCAGATGCTTCACCGACTGAGCCACCCAGGAGCCCCTGTTGGGCACTCTTCAAATGGCGCCACTATAAGAAGGCACAGCAGACCAGTGTTGCTCAAGGGCTCAGGCAAGGGGAGGGTCTGATCATAAAAGGTAGGGTGAGGGAGTACCTTTTGCCAGACCCTGACTCTGGAGATGCTTGGCACAATTCACACAAGCACAATTTGATGCTTGATCAAATTCCACAGTCGGACCCACAGACGTTCACGCAAAAACCCAGTGAAAACAACCTAACGTAATTTAGCCAATACTCCCCTACCAACATCCGGTTACTGGTTTGCACCATCTTCCGTGGCCCAGATGGTACAGTAGCAGGTAAGCGTGAGGGAGGGGCAAGCCGGGAGCCCTGCATTATTTTTGCAAAACCTGCGAGTCTCTGATTCTTTCAAAACCAAAACCTGAAAGCATTCACTGAGCCCGATTCCTAGTCTGTCCCCACGGGACTGAATCGTACGGAGCAGAAAATACCGGTTCACCGGCCTAGTCCGCCTAAGCATCAGTGAAAACAAACCCCCGGCGACACATTCTCAGGATGCACTGGGTCCCCGCCATCCCTTCCTTCAGGTCCGGGTGCAAATCGAAAGCTTAGTGAGTGGGTGTTGCTGGCGAACTGGTACCGCGGGTTCTCGTTATTCACGGTAGTGACAGTAGTTTCGCTTCATTAAGTCCCCGCGAATGCCGAATTCGCGGAAACCGAGGCGTCCCCCTGAGCCGACGCGCGGGGTTAGGTCCCTGCGGCTTCCGGTCGCATTTCGTCAGCTTCGGCGCTCTCAGCGGCCACGGAGAGCAGCGAAATCACCCACGGAACGCACAAAAACGCTAAAAAAAAAAAAACAGGGCACCAAGCAGGGATGTGAAACGTGCGTTGTTGCGGGTGAGAGCCCAAACAGGCAGGCAGAGGGTCCCGTTGTGCCCCCTCAGCTGGGAACAGCAACTGACGTGTCGTGCCGCTGGGCGCGTGCCCACAAACGTGCCTCGAGCAGGTTCGACCCACAAAGGACCTGTATGTAGCAGGTGTTCAGATGCGCAACTACAGAGTCCACTAGTAATGAGGACCTCCTGCGCTTTGGTGACCCCGGATGAAGCCTGGCCTGTGGCATTCCTATCCCTGTCTCTGCCCCTCCCCAGGACCTAGGGTGGCCCCAGGACGCAATCCATCCGGGTCTGAGCAGGGCTGGGGGCTTCCGTTTTGGGGTCAGCCTCCGTGCCGTGACATCCAAGCACCTTGAGATGCCCCGGCCGTGAGAAAGCTGCATCAGAAGGAGAACCCCCCCCGCCACCCCTCGCTGAGCCACCAGACTCCACGCAGACCCCACTGGCTCTCCCATCGCACGCCCCGTGGCGGGGACCGAGCTGGGGGCACCTCGCCCCACACGATCTCCAGCACACGGCCAGGCTGCCCAAACCAAAGCAAGGCAACTCAGAGTAGGTCAGAGACGGTAATTCTTCCGGAAGGGACATAAAGACCCAGAATTAGCTCAAAGGGAGGCACAGTTTGCCCGCGGATACGTCGCGAGACATGGTCAGCACAGAGGACACGTGGGCGTCTCGGGGCCTGGCACTACCAGGACCCTCAACGCACAGGCCCAGGCACGCGAGCCCCAAATCTGTTAAACAAGACCCAAAGCTCACCGTAATCACACGGGCCCCATCCCAATGAGAAACCACATCTACACCCTCCCCCTGGGCTCCAGTTCCAGAAATAGATACTGGGAAACACAACAGCCACGGGTCCCAATGAAGTCCCCGGCGCGTTATTTACGCGGCACGTTCCAGAAAAGTCGTGGTGCGCATCCTGAGGCTGTCTAGGGACCTTCGGGACAGCTCAGCTTTCCAAATAAGACCAGCAATGACGTCAAAGCCGCGTTGCTAAGGGAAGCCTGTACGTTGCTAAGGGAAGGGATGCTTTTGGAAGTAAGGCACCAGAATGATGCAGGCTTGCTAAGAAAATGAAGGAAAGACACCCGTGCACATCAGTGTGGACCAAACGCGTTAGGAGTAATGCTTGGGTCACTGAAACTCGTAAGCAGGCAAATGTCCCGTGGCCCACACGCACCGCAGAGAGAATGACCCACAGGCAAACTCACTATTCCTACAAGTGTTCATGAAAATGGTACATCAGGAGCAAGTTCGGAAGAGCTGGGAGAAGAACGAATATCAGGGGCGCTGGGGTGGCTCAGTCGGTTGAGCGTCCGACTTCGGCTCAGGTCATGATCTCGCGGTCCTGGGTTCGAGCCCCACGTCGGGCTCTGTGCTGACAGCTTGGAGCCTGGAGCCTGTTTCCGATTCTATGTCTCCCTCTTCTTCTGACCCTCCTCTGTTCATGCTCTCTCTCTCTCTCTCTGTCTCAAAAATAAATAAATGTTAAAAAATAAATAAAAAAAAAAAGAAAATGGTACATCAATACTGACTGTGAGAATAGCTTTATTCTCTACCTCCTGGTGTGAGTAGAAGGTGATTCCAATCACCTTCGGGCATTTCCAGGGTCGGAACTACTCACGTAGATCACGGTGAACCATAGTTCAGTGCTCCCGACCGCGAACCAGATTCGGGGAAAGGTCGGGCAACTGCTTAGCGATTTCAAGAAGAAAAGTAAACAGTTGGCAGGGCTGGGTTGTGGGAACTCGTAACCCAGGGCGTCCCTTCTGACAGTCTTGTCACCTTCCCATCACCTTGGGGGCACAGGGCACACAGAATGGATGCTGTGTCACTGAAGTCGCGTCTTCACAGATACGCCCAATCCCCAGTATACATGCCATGCGAGGGCCGTGCAAGAGGAGGTCGGCATTGCACACGCTTGTCCACACAGCCAGCTGGGTTCTCCAAGTAGGCATTCTGATCTGGAATATTCCATTAAGTCAGACAGAATGTCTCTGTCGCCTCAAATGTCACTTCTCCCATTGTCAACATGCACAAGGTCTTCCAAAGGCTTCGCCTGATTAGGTCAGGCCCACCTCCTTGTTGATCAACAGAAAGTCACCCGATTTGAAAGCTGTCGTTCCACACCTTTTGGGATGAGCACTGGGTGTTGTATGGAAACCAATTTGACAATAAATTTCATCTATTGAAAAAAAAAAAAAAAGCTGTCGTTCCACCTGCAAAGTCTTTTCGCCTGGTATATGCACCAAGGGGTGAGAATCTTAGGGACCATCTTAGATTGGGTCCAGCACACCACAGTTGTAACCTAGTCCTTACTGACCACCTATTCACAAAAGAACGCCCAAGGCCGAGCATTTTCACATACCCCAAAACAAATTAACAAAAGGAGAAAAACTTAAGACATCACCTGTATCACCACATCCACATCTTCTAGAAGTTTTTTCCTTCCCGTTCCCTCGCTCCCCCACCCCCGTTAGCTAGGTAAGCCTCTAACTGGATGGAGGAACTGCGAGATCATGACCTGAGCCAAAGTCAGAAGCTTTACCCACTGAGCCACCCAGGCGCCCCCGTCAGGGGAATCTCCTCTTAACTGACACCCCATCTGAGTTGGAGAAATGGAGCTCCCCCTCCCTGGGTCCCTGTGTTGACCTCTTAAGGGCAGAGAAAGCAGATTTGGAAAACAACGATACTTCATCTCGGTCAGGAACCCACGTGCAACAGATCGATGGTTTAAAGTTTCGTTGCAAATGCGTCTCCACGTTATAGTCTCTGGTTCCCACCAACACCACTCTATTTTTCAGCGGAACAAGGAAACCGAAATCATTAGTTACTCAGGACACATAATTGTACAGACAGCTCTCTGTCAGCAATTACAGAGATGCACTCCGTTGAAGGCCGTTTTGATCTATCACGGCTTCTTCCTGGGAGAAATTTAATTTCCTCTACATCGAAAAGGAAAGTGCACGTCAAAAGAAATGATTTTTCATCCATTTAGCCGAGACCAGCCACCCTCAACACCAGGGAGAGATCGTAGAGATAAAGAAGGTCTTCAAAAAGCAAGTGGATAATAAATAGATAAAGTCTCCTTCACAGGAGCACTTTATTGATTTTTATATGTATTGTGCTGTCGGTAAATATTCTCCGAGCTTAATGGAAAAGGAGCTGTGGCAGATACATTTCACGTATGCTCCCTGGGTGAGTCTCAGAGAGGACCCACTTCTCTTGTCCTTTTTGCACTAAGAACCCCAGCTCTGGAGAATCCACAGGGGCCCTCTTTCCAGACGGGGTGGATTGGGGCCACAGAAAGCATCCCTGTGAACTTCCTGAGGACCCAGCCATTGAGCGTCCCGCTCCCCGCGGACGTGGAGAAATGCAAACATGCCCTACTGTCCGCCACGGCTCTGTGTTTTCCCCCATTCCTGTTCCTCTCTTCAAGACAAGTCATCGATGGTCCCGGCAAACGTTCAGCTTCTCCTTACAGGAATTTCTCCAAAGACCCGTCCAGTCTTTGAGGGAAAGGATCCATGGACCATTGGTGCACTAAGATCCTTCGGACTCCTCCCATTAAAACCCTGCCCTTCCTGTTCCCAGCAATCCTAGACCCTCTGACCTCCTTTCCTCGCTATTTAAACCCCCTTGTCTTGATCGCATTTCCCGACTATCACTTTACGGTGCATTCCACTAGCGTTGAGGTTCGCCTCTGTGGATTCACCCCACTTTCCACCACTGCTTTCCGTGGGACTTTCGCCAAGCCCTCTGTCTCCTCCAGCTGATCTGTGCATTTCTTCCACGATTTCTCTCACATACTTCTCTCCGTTGACTCTACAAGGTGCAGGCTCCAGCATCAACTCCTTAAAATGGCCTTTTCTTTGGTTTGCATCAATTGTTTCTGCCCTCAGTTCACATGAGTCAGCCTCCGCCACATTATTTCTGTACCTTCCATATTTGATGTAGTCTAATTGCTTTTTCCTTGGGTTTAGTTATTTACTTTGAGACAGAGAGAGACAGTGCACGCAGAGGAGGGACAGAGTGGGGAGGGGGGAAGGAGAGGGAGAATCTTAAGCTGACTCCATGCTGTCAGCATGGAGCCCAATGTGGGGCTCGAACCCAGGAGCCATGACATCATGACCATAGCTGAAATCAAGAGTGGGACACCTAACTGACTGGCCCAGCCAGGCGCCCCGTCGGTCCGATTACTTCTTAACGAAGGACTCATGTACAAGTGAGTACATCTTAGTTTGGGGATGCACCATGAGCTCTCTGTTCCATCCATGGCACCTGCCATGATTCTATCATTCAGAGCACAGGACTCCCCACCCCTTATCTGTGGAGAATACATTCCGAGATGCCCCAGCAAATGCCTGAAACCAGACAGTACCGAAGCCTCTGTAGGCTATGTATTTATACACATGTTTTTACGATAAAGACTAATTTGTAAATTAAGCTCAGTTAAGATACTACCAACAATAACTGAAGGTAAAATACAATAATTATAACGATATACTTCCAGAAAAGTTACATGTGCACATGTGGTTTCTCTCTCTCTTTCGCTCGCTCAAAATATCTTACTGTCCTGTACTCGCCCTTCTCCCTGGGAAGATGTGAGTTGGCAAGATGCCCATGTGATGATGGGACGAAGGGAGGGGAGTGACGTAGGCGTTGTGACATAGGCTTAACCAACTACTGACCATCTGATGATCCGTCAGGAGGATTATCTGCTTCCAGACCACGCTTGACCGTGGGTAACTGAAACCACAGAGCGCAAAACCACAGATAAGGGTGAATTACTGTACATTCAGTAGATTCAGGTCAAATACTTGATATTCTCAGATTTCAACATAATTTCATCTAAAGAAATGGAAAATAGTATCTGTCGTGGATCGAATTTGGCTCCCCCAAAATATAGGTAGAAGGCTTACTCTCTGGCAATTCCAAATGTGACCCCATTTAGAAATAGGGTCTTTGGGCTCCTGGTGGCTCCGTCGGTTGAGCGTCCGACTTCGGCTCAGGTCATGATCTCGCGGTTCGTGAGTTCAAGCCCCACGTGAGGCTCTGTGCTGACAGCTCACATTCTGTATTTCTCTCTCTGTCTCTCTCTGCCCTTCCCTTGTTCAAGCTCTGTCTCTTGCTCTAAAATAAATAAACATTTAAAAATTAAAAAAAAAAAGAAATAGGTTCTTTGCAGATGTAATTGAATTACAATGAGGTTCTTCTGGGCCAGATGGACCTGTGGACCCCATGAGTGGTGCCCTCGTAGAAGGGGAAGAGAGATTCACCCAGAGCAAAGTCAGTGTGCACACAGAGGCAGACGTTGGAGTGGTATCTCCACAATCAAAGAATACCACGCAATGCCAGCAACACCACAAGTGGGAAGAGGAGAGAAGGACCCTCCCCTAAAGCCTTCTGAAGCCAACGTGGCCCCGTGACAACTTAATTTCAGACTTCTGCTCCCCAGGACTCTGAGAGAATATTTTTTTTTGTTGTTATGGTAGTTTTAAGCCATCCAAATGTGTGTTAATTTGCTATGACGGTCCTAGGAAACTAGCACAGTACCCAATAAACTTGAAAACTGTAGTATGTGAAAATGCAAAATACTTTGCCCTGAAGATTAAAAAAAAAAAAAAAAAGATGTTTCTCAAGGAGTTTGGAGAATTGGTCACTTGAGACACACTCAACTTTATAGCCTTTTCAATAATTCAGAAGCAAGACGCAAGAGCGATTACGTGGAGTTTTTGAACTTGCAAATAAAACATTAAATCAAATTATAGAACTAAATACTTCATCACACAAAGGCAAAGCGCCCTCATCTATAAATATATGCTCTCCGGGGTGGGCCCGTGTTTGCAACATCACAACATCGCATTAATAAATATTTCATAGAAACACGCCTTTGGACTTAGGCAGAAGCATTATTCCCGGTAGCGGCTGAAAATGGTGGTTTTCTATTTCCCCCTCCTGTAAAGCACCACCCCGACATCACTCCCGGTGGCTGGAAGTGGGCATGGAAAGCCATTCTCAAAGCAAAGCAAGGCACCAACGTACCAGGAGCAGGAAAGAAAGGAGGCGACCAGGCGATGGGTTTGGGATGAAGAGATGCATTTCAGGTCCCAGTACCGGAAGATTCTATTCCCCAAGCCAAGTGCACGCCATGTTTTGTCACGCTCGAGGTCTACACAGCAGCGTGAGATGCAGAGAAACCTCATTTACCCAAGCATCCAAAGGGACGTATTGAATCGCACACGCTCCCACAAGGAGCAAACTTTAATTCCCAAGTCAGGAGGCCCTTCGCATAAAGAGGAGAACCATAGTTTTCATGGCCGAGCTCCTCTGGGAAAAGCCAACGCTCAAACAGTGCTTGGGGATCGGGCCTTTTATTTCCTCTCATTCCCTGCTTCTGTCCGTTGCTTCCCTTCTAACCTCCAGGAAACAGTGGCCTTCTGAGCCTCGTATTCCAAACGGGCTCCACTCGCTCAAATCTATTTCCGTTCCTTCAGATAAACACAGGGGAAGCTTCCAGTTTCTCCCTCCAAGGACGCACTTAAGTTGCCAGTGGAAGACGACCCCTCAGGCTCAGACTGGGGACTTATCATTCTCTCGGTCGGACATGTAACAGGACGAAACTCTCCTTTGCAGACCCAGCAGCTCAAATGCGAAATCCTTGAGCACGTGGCACTCGACAGGATAACGAAAGACTGCTGTTCGGAAAAACCTGTCTACCTCAGTAGAATATGTTTTCGGTTTGGGGCGAGAAAATATACCCACTTGTTAGCTCATTTTATACCACGATCACAGTGGTTAAAAAAGAATCACGAGGGGCGCCTGGGTGGCTCAGTTGGTTAAGCGTCCGACTTCGGCTCAGGTCATGATCTCACAGTTCGTGACCTCAACCCCTGCATCAGGCTCTGCACTGACAGCTCAGAGCCTGAAGCCCATTTCAGATTCTGTGTCTCCCTCTTTCTCTGCCCCTCCCCTGTTCATACTCTATCTCTCTCTGTCTCAAAAATAAAATAAAACGTTAAAAAAAAATTAAAAAAAAAAAAAAGAATCACGAGACCTTCTAAGGCAGTGGTTTTCCAAGGGGGTCGTTGGGCCAGCAGCATGAACACCCCTGGGAACTTGTTCCAGATACAAACCCTCAGGACAGACGCCAATCTCTGGACCCATAGAATCAAAGCCTGTATTTTCACAAGCCCCCTGGGCGTTTCAGGCACACAGTAAAGCCTGAGAACCACGCTTTCAGGGTGCTTTCCTCCGAAGTAGGTTAATATCCTATTTGGTGTCTGGCTTCTGGAATCACAGTCATGTTCAAACCAACCACAATGAGCAGCAGCCACTGTCCAGATAATGACTCTGCCGTCCGTGTGTCTGGTGAGATAGACCGAAACAGACCACCCGGAGGGAACAAATTCTCAGGGAAACAATACGTGACCTCTTTTAGAATACCGAGGCACATCAAATTGCTTTTCCCGTATGAAGTGTCATCTTGAACATGATGGATTTGCCTTGGCCTTGTCTGCGAGGACATTTGGGATGACACATCAAGAACGGTCACCAGTATGGCCCCCTGAGCACACTCACTCCCCCGGTGAGCCGACGGAGTCTGCAGACTGGGTTAGTCTCCCTTGGCATGGTTCCCCTAACTTCAGCCCCTCCTTTTAAATGAAGAATGCCGGGTGTATACCCAACAGAAGTGAAATATGGACCTCAGAGGGAAATCTGCACCCCTAAGCTCGCTGCCCCATTATTCACAACGGCCACGCTACGAAAGCAACGTGTCTACTGACAGGTGAATGGATCAAGAAATTGTGGTCTAAATACACAGCAGAATATTGCTATTCAGCCTCAGAACAAGAAGGAAGTCCTGCCATTTCCAACAACAGGGATGAACCTAGAAGGTGTTATGTTAAGAGGAATAAGCCACACACAGGTGCCACTTACATGTGGAATCTAAAAACGTTGGACACATAGAAGCAGAGGGCAGCATGGCAGTTGTCAGGAGCTGAGGCTACGGGAAACGGGTGACGTTGGTAAAGGATACCATGTTTCACCCGCGTAGGACACATAAGGTCCGAAGATTTAATGGACAGCATGGTGCCCATAATTAATTAAACTGCACTGAATATTGGAAATCTGCCAGGGAAATAGATCCGAGGGGCGCTCATCACACACGTGAAAATGATAACTACGTGGGTAGATGGGTGTGTTAATTTCTTGACCGTAATCATTTCATGACGTATACGTCTATGAAAACACGTGGAACGCCTTAAATATATACAATTTTATTTTAACAAGAGGAACAAAAACTTTTAAAACCTAAAAAAAAAATACAATGACTACAGAGATAGCATTTGCATTTGGATTGGACTTAAAACACCACATCAACTTAGTATTTTGCATTTACCCCAAGATGATGGTTCCATTGGAGAACCTTCTCTCACCAACATTGCACGAAGACCCATCACTCTGGCCCCGGACCACTTTGTAGAAACGATCCCATTGTCACCTCTTCCAAACCCTCATCTTGACTCCTCTCTCAAAGGGCATTGAGGAAAGCTAACCTTCCACCAAATGGTGCTTTTCAGA